AAATCAGGGTGTTATAAAATTTGTGAATGGTTTTGACTGGTAGGTTATTCATACAAAAGATCGCGAGTGACAGTTCCCTTAGCTTTGTCTTGACGATCTTCGCTTAGTTCGCTACTGTTTGAAAGCAGCTGGTTCTAGAATTAAAACTTTCAGAACCGCGAGGGATCATGGGAACTTTTAAAGGCAGAGGGTCTTAAATAATGGATGTTATGAAGTTTTTCTTTGTTTATACAAGCGGAACCGGTGCCGTCTATTCAGTATGTTCAGCCTATAGTCTAATATTATCATTTGCAAAAGTTTACATCTATACGGCATGTATATTTTATTGTTACACTATATTTAGTCGTTTTTACTCCAACCCACCCCTCTCCCCGTTTGGTAACCACTGATTTAGGCTTTTTAAAAATAGTATGTTTTATTTTTAACAAAGATTAAATAACTATGGACAGGTTTCTCCTGGTATCTATGTTCCACGTTACCCAGTGGCTTAGGGAACGCTATATATAAACACAAACACAACTTGTAGAAAGGTATAGTTTACGTCTCTATTTCTCAGTATGCCGTTTTCCCAGCATGCCGTTTCTGTATCCATTCCGCTGTTTTGAGTATGAGTCACATTTTTAAAGGAAAAGCAAGAAATAATATGATAAAATTACAGAGTTATCGACGATAACCTCTCTCTGTTTTATATAATAATTACCAGTATGAAAATGTTGTACCATTACAAAGATTTCTTTTACAGCCGCTATACCATAAATGCAATAGAGGGGGCAGCTTTGTTTCCGTGGGAGGAAGCTCATTGTAGAGGTCACGTGCTGAGTGTTCGTCACTCCTCCAATCACCTCGGGGAAGGTCTGAGACAAGAGCCAATAGCTGCCCTAGCAGGGCATCACCTGATGCAGGTGAGCGAGCGAACAGCAATACTGGGCTAATGTGAGCTGCTCTCTCAGGAGAAGCTGTGTAATGCAGTGGATGTGAAGCTCACTGGCTTGGAATCGCTCGCGGCTGGCGAATGAGTGCGATGTGTGAGGTGGAGCATCGCTCCAGAACCCAATTCAGACTACTCTCCTCCCACATTTTACCTCCACTAAGCTTGTGATATTTTATGTCAGTCACAACAAATAGTACCTACCCACGCAGTAAATGCTCAAGTCAAGCATCTGTTTCATCTAAGGCTACAAGTCACCATCATTGTAAAGCAGCTGTAGTTGGTTCATGTGGAGTCAGTTTTAACTATGCTCCTGCATACTCTACTGGGGGGTTCACTCTGAAATAATGCATCATATTTGTACACAATAATTCCTCAAATATATATTGTTTGCATGATTGAACTGCTATGAAAAATATACCCAATATGTTGCACTGATATGATGGCATTTTAATTACTCCTTGTGCCGAGAGTGATGATGGAGAGACGTGTTGTGCTGCTGCCTACACAGAAGCGTCTACAATGTGGAATATTTTTTCAGGTTCAACTGCAGCTGAACAACAAAATCTACAGGCACATAGGAATATGTTGTGCATATCTCTGAGTCTGCATACAAAAAAGTGCAATGTAAATAGAGTGCAGGAGATAAAAGCAAAGAAAAATGTATACAACTATGCTATCTACAGCTTTAACTAGTATATTTAAAATCAGGTTTTTGTCACTAATATACAAACAAAACATTATTTTTTAATATTTTACTATGATAGGAGTGTTAATACTCATGTGGTATGTGCTAGGGGCAGTTGAATGTTGTAGCTGGTCTAGATGGAGCTAATTTAAAAATACTTTATGTGTTTTGAATGTGGGGGCTTAATTTGCAAAGTGAGTAAAATAAATGTAGTGGAAGAAAAACGATATTTACATCTGAAATGTGGTGAAGTAGAAGTGTAAACTAGCAACCAATGTAAATAGTCAACTAAGGTATAAGTACCTGAAAATTGCACCTAAGTGCAGAAACTCAGTGATTGTACTTAGATTCAACTACTAATGTAATTAGTTTAAGGTGTTGTGCTGTCTGTTGGCCGTTAGGGGGCAGCTGTCAACCACTAATGTAGGCGTACACGATGGGCCCCAACACCAGCACTCCCAGTAGGACTGGAGGCTCTGGGAGAAAGATATATGAATATCACTGTGCCCCCCCCCCTCCCCTCCAACGGTACCCTTGCCCCCCTTAAAGGTGAAGTTAATTTTATTTTCTATATAGCGCCAGAAAACACAGAAAAAAGCATGATGAAGAAAGCAGTGAAAGGTGAGATGAAAGTTAGTTAGGAGGTGAAAGTTTACTCAGGTTAAGCCCACCCATGCTTTTTACTCTATGTGCAATAAAACTTACACGAGGAAAAAAGCGAGTCAGAGTAATTAATCAAAACATCATTAGTCCATGGTGAAACCAGCACAGTGGCAACACGTGGTATCTGTAATTACTGGTGTCATGGAATGATATGTTTACTCTAATTGAAAAGATACTCATGCTATAGATTTTCATAGCAATAATCAAGAAACTGTGTACTTTAGATGTCACATTTTTAATAGGATGTAACCATGAGAATACAATAATTTATGAGACAACAGGAACACAGTCCAGCAGTGGCACAAACACAACATGCAGTACCAGTATATATCCTACAAATGAATGGCTAATGCTTTTTGAAGAACAAATATGATAGATTAAATTGAGTTTGTATCATCATTTTTCTGCCAGCTGACGCCCAAGATAGAACACAAGCAAACATCTCTAACATTTCTCTGAGGGAGCATGGAGGAGGTTAGTGCAAACAGCAAATTGAACCTCTTACCTCTGTTATTCACATATTAAACCTAATCTTTTTTTGCAATGCATAACACAAATATGCAATAAATGATTTTGGTGGACCTACATACATTGCATCCTTTATGTAGATTGGAAGCCTCTGACAAAACAGCTGGCTGCTATATTTTTGCCTCATAAAACATGAGCAGTACTCAAATGTAATGTTAGATGTTTTCTAGCCCACATACCTGGCGGTTGTTTTGGCCCTGACATCCCAGTAGGAGCCCTGCTGTCACAGAGCAGAAAATAGCAGCAACAAGGGATTAGGGTGTGAGATCTGAAGTAGCAGAATTTCTCCTTGAGAGGTTGCAGCTGTAAATGGCCTCCTGCCTTCACCATCTTCACTTTCTACAGTTTCCAACACCTCTCTATATTACTTTAACTCTATAGGGACTTGGAAAGTGTATGTGCCTGGTGAGACAACAGCAGACATGTCAGACAAACATCCAATTAAGAGAAATACTTTTATCAATCTAATATTATCTAACAATAATGTGAGGTAACATTATATTTGCATATTTTGAATATCTGAATACTTATGGATGTTGACTGCGAACGGGAGTCAGCTGCTGCGGCTGTAAAACATTTTAAAGTTAGAACTGTTTTATGCTGTCTTCAAACAGAAGGAATGAATTAAAAGAGCCAGTTGGCTTTGAAGAGTGAGAACCAGTTAATTCCACCAGATTCAGCCAAGGTTTGCATGAAATGGCTTCCTTTTTTTTCAAAGGTTCCAGCAGCTGATATCATGCACTTATGCAGTATGTACAAGGTATTTCAGTCTTGTCATATTCAGCCAAGAAAAAACATTAGTTCCTTTTACCAAGTTTCTTTGATGGCTCTTTCACATGGATTTTCATACAATTATAAAGCTGAAAGTCAGTTTTACAATGCTTCAAAACAAGTAAGAATTAAGCCATTATTTACTCTTGATCATTTAACCGTGTACTGTGTAAAAAGAAGAGAGGCTGACTTTAGATGTAAACATACAGTAAACTCAATACAGAGTGACTGCTCGGTATATGGGTCACTTCAGTCTTGCTATTAGCTGTTATTTAGTCTAAACATTTCACTCATCTTAAACAGAGACAAGTTTTAAGTTTTTATGTCGTCATCATGTCATAAACTTTATTTCATGCCAGAAAACAAATATAACATCCACATAACAAATTTATATTCTTCATAAAAGAAGTGATAAATAGTTCAACGAAAGATTGAACACATTCATTCCTTGCATTATCAGATCGACTGATGCTCAGAATACTGTCAGACTGTACATTTATCAAGGTTACACCACTGTTACTTAAACCTCACAGCGTTCATTAGCGACTGTACATGATCTCAACAAACTTTGTTTTAATGTCATTACACAGAATAGTTTCTGCTTTACTGCTGTACTCAAAATATAAAGTTCTATTTACTGTATGTGTGTTTTACCTATGCACTCATGTGATTACACACTGCAAATGTAAAGTAATGGCTTCTGAGTTTTACTTCTAGACTAATAAACTTCACAATTATTTGGTAGATTGTTATCGTCCACTAATGTCGTACTACACTCGAGTGCAGTTCTTGGCTTGTTAACAACAGTTAATTCTACATTTTCAATAGACAGTCTACAATAAATGTCCATTCTTTACAATAAGATCCATGTTTCGTATTTTTCTAAAGTGCAGGAGTGACTGACGGGTGACAAAACTTTATATGCAGACCATAAGCATTCATTAACTCTGTTCTATCTAATGGCTGTGTAACCCTTTAGTAAAAAGATGCCTGGTAGTAAACTTTCGAAGAAGACAGCAAAGCACAATATCACAGCAAGAACAAGGGAAAATGCAGGTTATTCCTACCACAATTTCTGATTTTGTTTTTAATGAAGAAGGCATGATAAGATGGCGATGGATGGACAGACTGGCTGTTATTCATGTGTTTCTTTTTTGTGCCATTTTGACATTATTTCTACTCTACGATGTAGCTTTGATTGAAATAATAAGAGCACAGAGAAATAAGAAATCATGCAAATCTTTGTTTTTAATTTCTTATGTGTCTCTTAAATCAGAAGCAAGAAAAGTGCCAGTACTGTGAAATGAATCTTAACACAGTTCCTGATCACACAATAAAATATTGCATTGCCTCAGTTCTTTCTCACCAAGGTTTTAGTTTGTTTCACTACTAACTGATTTATCCAAGCACTCTTATATTTATAACCCTGGAGCAAAGCTTTGCAAAAACAATCCTGGTCATGCTATCAAGAAAAAAGTGGATGTCAAATACCAAAAAATGAAGAAACAACCATACAGATGCTCCTGCTTTAACTGTGTTGAGTAGCAGCAGCTTTGCTCTGTCAGTTGTTGTTCATAATCCACCATGAGGCTGCAAAAGGAAACAGCTTGAGTCAAACAGATGACAAATGACAACAGGAAGAGAACCTAAGTAACAGGGCATATTTTGTTCCTTAAGAAAAAACAATTTCCTGAGAAAATAATTATTTTTCTAATACAACATACACTACTATACACACATTAATTGATTTGATGGTTTACTATCACCTTTCAGGTTTATATATTGAGGTCACTTGCTTACTGTACGCATGGTATGGAGCGACACTAGCATTTGTTTTGAGTCCGGACACCTGATGAAACTAAGTCTAGTGTTCACCCTCTTTCACCTTTGTTTTTGGTTTCTACTATCAACTGTAAAAACGCTGGACAGGTTAAGAGCTCCCAGAAGTGAAGCCACCAAAAGCTTCCAGAAAGCACCCAGAAAGACTTTAATGAACTTCTTATGTTCATTCGTTATTCTATCAGATAATAATGAACCAATGATTACCCCCTATTCATTGTATCAAGCATATGAAGTAATCGTTTTTCAGAAGACCATGCTTATTTACCTCATTCTTCCAGTTTTACTGAGATTCATAAATCTATGAACTACATCAATTTGGATTCATGTGGGATTTTGAGCATGAAACAGGAGCGTACAATAAACTAGGCATTGTTTATACCTGGGAGCAGCATGGTGGAGACCATCTCTGGCTCTTCCAGTGAGTCGATAATGCAGCGCTGGAAAGTCTTACTGATGGACGACTGCAGGTAGCTGAAGGATGAAAAAGATGAGACTGTCTGCAAAGGCAATAATGCTTCAAAGCAGCTCTTTGTGCTGGGCAAATTATGTTTCAGCAAAGAAATTCTTGCAACATGTTTTCTAATTAACAATGCCATGAAACCCTTCTGATCTTACCTCATCCAGGAGAGGCGATCCTGCCAAAATTCATACATGATGAAGCATGATCTGTCCGGCAGGTTCTGAACTGAAACACTACAAATAAAAAGAGACAGAGAGAAAGAATAAACAAAGAGTAGCAGGGGTTGTCTCATATGTCTGGGGAAATTGAAGGGATCTGAAGTGGCTACATCAAATCACAGAGAGATCCTGAGACAAACAGAAGCACTGAGGCTGAACAACGGACATACTGTAGGTTGTTTAGCTGGCTGCTAGTGGCGTCTGTGTAGATTTTGAGAGCTTGCTGAAATTGCTCAACATCTCTCTCCTTCACAGACATTTGTCTTTGGACTAGAAGAATGTTCTAGAGAAGGGGAGAGAAAACAAATAATCTCAATGATTTGGGCTCATTTTGGTATGTAAATAAAATACTTTAAAAAAAATTAGCAACACCATCATTATTTATTCAGAGCAAATATAACTTATATAATTAGATCACAGTATTATAATGAACCTACAGTTATTTACATTACAGTATAAATGTAACTCACTGATTTATACGTCCCTGCCAATGTGTCTTCTTTAAGAGGTTCAAGTTGTGGACTCTGAAAATGGGCATAGATATTTTATTCAGCTATGAGCAGAACAAGAATTAGCAGCAAAACCGGCTCAACTGAATCCAGCAACGGTATGGCCTCTAGTTCAGCCTGTAGCAGAGCATTAGCTTTCACAAGGAAGACCTCACCATGTTCATATTATCTAACCTACAACAGCCTCACTACAGCCCTGAGAACTGGCCTTATACTATATTCTTGTCTGCATGGCCAAGATAAGGAAATGTAATTAGAGTGTTAGCAGGCTACCTCATTAACTTCGCAGCACTGGTATCTAACTTTGGGAAATGCCTTATCTATAATTTCATATCAATATAAAATTAACAATCCCCACAGCAGCAGCCAAAAACTGTTTGTGCTCTTTTTCACAACCTGCAAGTGAAATATCGGTGACTTTTCATAAATTTCAAGAAGCTTCAAAACTTTATTGTTTCCCTGTGCTTTATTTCTAACCTCCCAGAAGTACATTATTTTTTTGTATTTTATGTTCATAATCTCATCAGAAATGACTACATAACAATTGAAAAGTAAATAAATCAACATTAAAATTCATACACCTCAAACACACCCTTTGCCCTGCGCATCCCACAATCTCTCTATGCAACCTGAAGATGGATAATATAACACGCTGACAAACTGAAACATATGCATGCATCACCAGACTTTTAAAAAGGTTATTAAAGTAAAGATTTCCTGTCCCTCCCAGACCTCCACATACTCTATAACTCTATAAGCACTATGTCTAGTATAGACAGAGTGAAGGTGAATGTGGAGGTTAACCACAGTCAGCTAGCCTGGCATCTGTGCGCTGACAAAAACAAGCAGATTTTACACAAACCTCACACTCCAGTTTGTCTATGAGTTCCTCGAGCTGGGTGATTTGGGTGCCCCAGTGGTTATCTGGCTCCACGCTGACTCCTGACCCCAGAAACAAACAAGGCACAGCGCAAGAGGTGTGAACAAGGATAGTTTATCAAAGTCTTGTGCGTTTTGTATGACCTACTGTGCCCGTTTCAACCTCCAGTGTTTTGGCAAATTTGTGCTCCCTTCATATTTTAATCTCAATGTTCCTGAGACCTACCTGTGGTGAGCATGCCAGAGTAGGGGTCGGTAGGGGAGAGACACATGTTCTTCTGGATGCGTCGGCCAGGGCGTTTGGCCGTCCTTTGGACAGCCAAGTCCTGGGGCTTCTCCAGTATCCTCCCTGTACAGCCTTGGTCATGAACAGCCTCCATAGCACAATCCAGGGATGACTGAAGGGACTGCAGCTGGGTGGAGGTCTCCCTCAGCAGGATGCGTGTCACGAACTGACCCAGCACTGATGACTTCTGGTACTCCTGGAGGGCGCAAAAATGAAGAAGAATCAGCTGATATGGGAAAAATACATTCATTCATTTCTTATTTTTAGTTCAAATGGGAAAATACATGATTATCATAATTTTGGTTTATTATTTTTATTTATTTAGGCCTGGGGTGGGGAAACAGACAAGGAGTGAACAGAGATAAAGTTAAAACGCAACAAATGTGGATGGCATGAACATGTCTCATGTAGAACGTGTTGATTACCGTGAATTAATGGCTGCAAACACCCCAGGTGATAACAGTGTATTCCATAAACTGGAAAGTTATAATATAATGGTTTCTAGTGCCACTTTTCAAAGCTGGCACTAAAAAAACTACTGTATAAGCTTCAGTGGAATAGCTGCTGCTTTACCCCCATGTTCTTCCAGGTAAATACAACTATGCCATGTCAGTTTTTGTGGATAATGAATCCCATCATCCTCAGCGGCCCCTTGTGGTGCAAGGAAATTGAGTTCAGGAAAAATGAGACGGAGATGTTTGAAAAATGACGACCAAGCTTGTTCCTTGTGTCTGTGTGCTTGGTCTTCTCTGCAGCAGAGGCGCTGCACTACGTGAACAATGAACCTCAGTCCTCTTAATATTTCCTCTCTTCGAACAGAAGAGCTGCAATATGGTCTTTTTATCTTGGGACACAACAACAAGACAGAAAACACATTTTAGTCTTGTAACATCATCAGTTTACTGGTTGTGTTTCTAGATATTATGAAAGCATTATAAACTGGACTTCATGTAAAAGCTTTACCCATATTTCTGCTGGGTCTTGGTAGTTCTGGTCGCCCCAGAGCACTGCTATAGGCTCAGGCTTGTCTTTGGTTAAGTATTTAATAACTAAGATTAATCTCAGGATGGCTAAAAAAAAGCATATGTTCTTCAGGGCAAAGAAAGCTTTTTGACAGACTAATAGCAAAATAAAAAATGCATGAGCAGCAAGAAGGCATGGGAGATAAAGAAAAGAGGAAAGTTTAAAAGAACAAGAACAGGAGCCAGATGAGGCAATGTCGGAGCAGACGAATGTACAGAGAAAGAAGATTAAAAAGAAATGTGTGCATCTGAATGAAGTGAATAATAGACTTGGATTAAAGACGAGGGCCAGAAACTGAAAGAGGAAGAAGTCAGAGCAGCTGGAAAGTGGTCATGTGTATGTGACACAGGCATCTGACATCAGAACAGCTGGACACGTGGTGGGATTGTCAGCATTAGCTACTGTCATCTGTGCTCTCCTATGATCAGTAACACCCACTTCCTGCACTGCAGTGAAAATACGCACAGTCTGCACGTGATTTTTCTTCCTTTGCCAAACAGAAATAAATATTCACTAGCTGGCTTAAAACAAGGGGTTAGGTGAGATCAATAAAGAGTGAGTGGAGCTATTGATTTTCTCTGATGTTGATCTAAATTATGTGTAAGAAACAACATAATTACAGTGCTGCATCAGGAGCAGGGTCTTTAATCCCCTGTCCATCACAGAGACTATGACAGGATTTCATAAAGTTCTATTTAGCATGTTTCACTAAGCAAAGCAGGTGATTTGATACTGGAAACATAATCATTCCGAGCTTGTGATATTTGTGACAGTAACAATATCTCCCACTTGGCAAAGTGACCTACAGACTTGTCAATAAACTGTTGGCGGAACGGCTGTAAATGCACCACCACTTGTAGTTACATAAAAATAAAATCCAGCATTACATATAACACTAAGAAAATCTATTCAGCTCATTTTATAGGTGCTAGAGCCTACACAGTTTGTTTGTGTGGTGCACCTAAAGATATGTCACCACATTGTTTTCAGTTAATTTATTATTTCATAATTGACAATTGAATGTACATTTTATTTTGGGTGCCACATTTATATTATATGATGTTTTGTGCCTGCTGTCCTGGATTTGGTGGTTGGAGAACAGAAAAGGGTAAAGCGGAACCTTTGTGCGCTTGGTGTTGCACCCAGAATGGTTTTGGGGAGGGACCTTCTGTCCTCGCCCCCAGATGCAGTCTGGATGCGAATGTCAGCATACCGTGAGAGTTCTGTTCTGATGTCACATTGTGTTTTCCAGGTCAGTAGACGGTGAAACTACACATACAAAGCAGTATGATGTTAGTATTTAATAATTTGTTAGTATAGCGTACTGTTCGGTGTATATTTACATGCTCGTCGGTAATAGTTTAGTTAGTCAAGGCTCAAAGTAAAGCGGAGGTTTCCCGCGGGTAGGACGTCTCGCGTGATTTAGCGGAAATATCGCGAGGACCTCCAAAGTCCGGTTTTATGGACCTTATCCAGTTTTATTGTCACTAATATGCATTGTATATTGTTATTAGGACTTAGGTAAAGTAAGAATGTTTAAACCGAAGTCAATGTAAATGCATGAGAGATAGTTATATATTCAGTTTGAAGTAATGTAAATGTATTTTTGTTCAAAGATAACTAGTATTTTTAGTGTGCAGCCCATTATTTATTTGATAACTAATTACAGTTAAGCATGGAACAGTGGAGCAACTGTTTATTCACCACCAAAGTGGTGCTGAGACATGTCACTCAGGTGTTTAAGTAATTATATTGAGAACTTGAGTTAAGAAAATATGGGATAAAAATGCACTTTATTCATGCTGTTATAATGTTTGAATGTTAATGTTTGAATAAACCCAGATGCAGTCTGGATGCGAATGTCAGCGCACCGTGAGAGTTCTGTTCTGATGTCACATTGTGTTTTCCAGGCTGCACTAATTCACTGCTACGCAGCCCCGGCACTTGGGGCCCGTAACATTTGTATCTGGTTCACTTGGTAACAAACTGCCTCAAATATGCAAAACAACAAAATTAGCTTATTTAAGATGCTTATCTGGTGTGGCTACCAGGTTGTCTTCATTGATTTGTTTCTGGGTTTGATGCTTAATGATTCTCTTTGCCTTTGAAGCACTTTGAATTGCTTCTTTGTATGGGAATCAGTTTACAGAGAGGAAGACTTAGATAAAGCATATGACCAATATTTAAATATATTTAAGAAAGTATATGACAGGAACTGTCCTCGTAAGCAGAATAAAAACAAAAGGAATTACAGTGGGAAACCGTGGATGAGTAAGGGATTACAGAATGCATGTAAAAAGAAGAATGCGTTATATAAGGAATTCATAAAGGACAGATCAAAGAAGGCGGAAGAAAAATATAAGTCATATAAGAACAAATTAATTGAGATTTTGAGGAGATGTAAGAAACTATATTACTCTAAAGTATTAGAGGATAATAAAAATAACATGAGAGGTACTTGGAATATATTAAATAAATTGATTAGAAACAGTACCAGCATGAGTAACTACCCTTAATATTTTATGGATAATGACACACCGGTCAATAGATTTGAGGATGTAGTTGATAAGTTTAATAGGTTCTTTGTGAATGTGGGTCCTGGTTTAG